CACACACATTATATACTGGAAATAGTTTTCCTGTATGTTAAGTTGAAACTTAGAGCAGTGAGTCCTACCTTTTTTAAAAAAGGAAAAGAATAAACTGTAAGTGGAAATATTAATTGCGAAAACAAGTATAATAATGAAGAAAAAATTAGGAAGTATATACAAGACAAGAATTATCCTCAAAATTAATCAACATATTTTTATCTGAGATTTTAATTAACTATTTAATCTCCCAGATTGCAGAGATTATATTTCAACTTTATCATCTAAATATGAAAATGTTCTGTTAAAAGCTGGATGTTGAAAGCATCAAAAATTGTACAAATAACTAGTAGAAAATCTTGTAAATAATCATTATATTAAAATCAAAAATATTTAAAGAGCATTACAACATAAGGAACTAATTTTTATTGCCAAATATTGGCAAGTAAGGAATTTTTTATGGTTATTTAGAATAAAATGCAGATCATTAAGGTGAATGGTATGGGTAAATAAATCTTTTTAATCAGAAAATAGGCAATCATATTAGTCTATTGCAACCAAACAACAAAGCATCTGTGGGTAAATTTAGCCAGAAGACGTATAGACAATCGCATATAATTTTGCAGATTGGACAATACTTTTGATTATTAAATTTGTGTCATTTTTCCTCAAAGCATGAAAACGTTCATTTTGTTTTCTTTATTTTCATTTCAATGACTGCCTCACAATTTGACCACCATGCTGGAAAGCATTCTGTGCAGCTCCTATTTTCTAAGATTGTTAATATGAACATCCAAAAATAGGAAAGAAGTGTCCATATGGTTTATGTGGAAAAAAACAGGCAAAAGGAGTAAAACATTGGAAGCAGCTGCTAAATAGAAAAGTCAGGTTTATCGTAATTGGGAGATTATGAGCAAGAAAACTGTGACAATTAATTGGAAAACTTGTTTTTTTTTTTTAAAAGGAAAGTAGTTGTGAGCTCTCTCCAGAATGAAATGCTTTTCTACGATTCACTGAAGTGTTTTGAACTTCTTTCACTAACATGCATGAAGAGTAATTACATGATTGTAAGGCAGGTGAAGCTTGCATTTGCTATGGGTTATTAGTACGAGTTCCATTAATGATTTCGTGATTATGGTCTTAAGCAATGATGGATCCCTGAGAGGAATACATTGGCTTAGATAAAAAGTTTTTAATCGAGTTCTTTGTAGGAATGTATGCTGTATTTTGCATAGCAAAACATAAACATTCATTTGATAGATTGCAAAGGTCTGATGATAAACTGATACATAAAAGAAAATGAAATAGTTATGTAGACAGTGCCCCCTAGCCTCCAATGTGCAGGATTTATTTAAAAAATACATGTAGCATTTATAAAGTGTAGGCTTTTTATTTCATTCTCAAATATATTATTAAAAATCATTACTTTTGTTATAACAGAAAGGCTTTTCTCCCTAATTACAAAAGTCATGGAAAGATTAAAATTATTGAAACTAAATATTCTTATCTGCTTTTCTATTTTCATATAAGATGCATAAAAGGTTATACTGGATGGTGATGAAACCTTTCATTTAGGAAAAAATGTTGCTAATATGAAAGTCAACTACTAGGTTCATTAATATGTTTTTATCAATCAAGTATATTTGCGTTGTTTTAGAAATTGTTTTATCACTTGAAAGAGAACTGAAGATGTCCATTTAAATCAAAAGATTAAGATCTTTCCATTTACTTGTCAATAACATTTAGCATTTTTTCTCAGTATGGTGTAAAACCAAGAGAAAAATCATCTATCAATAGTAAAGCTCCCAGATTTGTAACTGCAACAATGCAATACTTTTTTTCATATTAGCCTCAACTTTGTAAACAATATATTTATCATTCTTACACCCTTAGCCTCAAAATAAATATTTCTTATGCCTGCCCAAAAACAGACCAAGAGTAGATAACCCTTCATCCTATATTTACATTTTGGAAAACATTTTGAATCTTGCTGCCAACTTAAGCAGGAGACTAAAAATATAAAAACATCTCTTTAAAAAGCCTGCTTCAGCAATACAAAAATATATACTTTTAAATCAATTCCACGTATTTCATTCAATGCATGCATTTTTATATCAAGCTAGTAAAATACAACTGCCAGATATGCTAGAC